TTTAGGGGTTTAGGGTTTAGGGGTTTAGGGGTTTAGGGGTTTAGGGGTTTAGGGGTTTAGGGGTTTAGGGGTTTAGGGGTTTAGGGGTTTAGGGGTTTAGGGGTTTAGGGGTCTAGGGGTTTAGGTTTAGGGGTTAGGGATTGTGGCCTGAAGGGCTTGTGGGATTTAGGGGTGGCCGGTTGCCGAGGGCTTGAGGAAGTTCTCACAAAGGCCCATTAAGGTGTAGGACTTAGTCTTCGGGGCCATAAGTATAGGGGCCAACCCTAAGATATTCCCCTTGAAACCCCAAGCCTTATGAAGCCTAAACCGGCTTCTGGTTCAAAGCCCTAGACCCGAAAGCCCTCAAAAAACCCTACGCTCCAAACCCTAAACCCTATGCCCTAAACCCGAAAGCTTTCAAAAACCCACGCCCTAAACCCTAGAACCCTAAGAACCCCTAAGAACCCTAAGAACCCTAAGAACCCTAAGAATCCTAAGAACCCTAAGAACCCTAAGAACCCTAAGAACCCTAAGAACCCTAAGAACCCAAGAACCCTAAAAACCCTAAACCCTCAGCCCTCAACCGATCCTTGGCTCTTGGCTCGGAGTTACCGGTTTTCACCGAACTTGCTCCATGGTAGCGGCCGAAGGACTGACACAGGGAAAGGGCCTAGGGTGTAGGGTGCTAGGGTGCTAGGGTGTTAGGGTGTTAGGGTGTTAGGGTGTTCGGGTGTTAGGGTGTTAGGGTGTTAGGGTGTTAGGGTGTTAGGGTGTTAGGGTGTTCGGGTGTTAGGGTGTTAGGGTGTTAGGGTGTTCGGGTGTTCGGGTGTTAGGGTGTTAGGGCGTTAGGGTGTTAGGGTGTTAGGGTTTAGGGTTAGGATGAGCGATTCAAATAAAAAGCCTTGAACGGGTAGATGGTGATACGGATTTTAAGCCAGAACAGGAGAAACTAACGAATACCGCTAATTTAAGTATGTAGAACATCTACATCCAAACGCCTTTAGACCCCGAGTTTGAAACCTTTAAGGAAGCGATAAATGTAAAACATTACAAAGAAAACGAGTGCTGGTTTAACACCATAACCGATTGGTATAAAGATACGCTAGTGGGTGAAAGAAGACGAGAGAAGAACCGATTAGCAAAAGAAAGTCTGTTGAAACTGATGAATAAGACCGAAGAGGATTTCAAAACGAACGGGGCATCAATACAAGATATGGTGCCGGTGTTTGAACACTAAGGTATTTAAAGTAAGGATATTTAACTCGTGCTGTTCAGAAGCCCAGAAGCATTGAACGACCAAGGTGTGCCCAATGTGCATAATTGCGGGCAATGTTGCGAACACGAGTGCAACATTAACGAGGATGTACCCCAAACCCCAAACCCCAAACCCCAAACCCCAAACCCCAAACCCCAAACCCCAAACCCCAAACCCCAAACCCCAAACCCTAAACCCTAAGCCCTAAAGCCCTAAAGCCACAAAAGGACCATGCGCCGCTTGCACATTGCCTCCTTGGGGCTCCTGGGCCCAGCAGTCTTTGCCAGGCATGGGGCTTGCAGGGTGTGCAGGGTTTGCAGGGTTTGCAGGGTTTGCAGGGTTTGCAGGGTTTGCAGGGTTTGCAGGGTTTGCAGGGTTTAGGGTTGGAATGGTTTGGAGGGTTTTTTTGGGTTTGTTATTATTATTATTATTATTCATTTTTTTTTTTGGGGGGGGGAGGGGGGTTTCGCAGGTTTTTGGAGGGTTTTTGAAGGGTTTTGAGGGTTTTCTGAGGTTTTTTTGGAGGGTTTTGAGGGTTTTTGGAGGGTTTAGGCTCGAGGGGTCCTGCTTTCAGGATCTTTTGGTGTGGGTTTGCAGTGTGCGTAGGGGTCTTATGGGTTTATATAGGGCTTTGGGTGCATACGACCTTTGTGCATGTTGGGCTACCCAAAAGTGACCTCCATACGCAGCTTCGAGAACTGAATCCATAGAGATTGGCGAGCAGGGTGGGCTTCCCTGACTTTTTTACCCCTAAGCCCCCAAACCCCCAGACCCCTAAACCCCTAAACCCCTAAACCCCTAAACCCCTAAACCCCTAAACCCCTAAACCCCTAAACCCCTAAACCCCTAGACCCCTAAACCCCTAAACCCCTAAACCCCGAAGTGGCATGGACCTTTAGGGTCTATTTGGCACTTCCTTTTTGTTTGCTATTTAAACGGTTCAATTCACACATACAATTTGTGGGGTTTAGGTTTAAGGCAAAATTTATGGCTTAGGGCTAGTTCGGTTCACGGCTCAGGGCTCCCATGTTTGGCATCACATCTCTTATTTTCCTAGGGCTTCGCCACCTACCTCTCATTCCGTTTTCCATTCAACCCTCGTCTAAGGGTCTGGTGTTTGCGATAAATATACTACTTTAAAAAAATCAATAATAACATAAATAACGCTAACTACAGGAGCTGCTGGAAATGACAAACCCTGAGCGCCTTCAAGTGTGTTGCTTCAATTAAGACGATAATATACTCTTTTGTTGATAAATATTCCCATGACCATATTGTTGTTTCAGCCGCTTTTCGCCTTTTCCTATTAGTATTGTTTTTGTTTACCTGATATAACACCAAGGAAGGGGAAAGGGAAAACACCACTTCATCTCGATGTGTGTATCTCTCCTTTCCTTCCCTCTCAAGATTTTTCTTTTGTTAATCTCCCTCTCTCTCTCTCTCTCTCTCTTCTTCGCTCTGTCTCGCTCTCTCTCTCTCTCTCTCCCTCTCTCTCTCTCTCTCTCTCTCTCTCTCTCTCTCTCTCTCTCTCTCTCTCTCTCTCTCTCTCTCTCTCTCTCTCTCTCTCTCTCTCTCTCTCTCTCTCTCTCTCTCTCTCTCTGTCTGCCATCTCTTGCTCTCTCATCCCTCCCCTCCCCTCTTTCCTTCCTCCCCTCCTTTCCAAAACTTTCTGCGGAGAATAAGGACAACTGTTGCGGACTTTTAGTCGCGATCTGAGCCCTGCAGGTTTGCATGGATGCACATTACAAATCAAGATTTAATTAAGTCAACTCCAAACTCTCATTCTGGAAAAGAGGCAACGAAGAACATGTGCAGCTAAGGTACCTGAGACGGGAGGGTTTTCAACATGCCTCCCGAGCCCAAGTGGTCTACACGCGGGCGAGCTTCAGCACACCCGGCTCAGTAGAAGCACTTTACAAATCATTACAAGTCAAATTTGTTACATTGTTGCCCGGCGAGAGTTGACATCACAGATGTTGGGCTCACACTTACTGCGGCCCAAGGGCTCTTCAAACGGCTTACTTGCTTTGTGAATTTCGAAAACACATGCGGGGCACTAGCAGTGGCTTCAAGTCACAGCCAACGCAAGTGAGTGCTTGCCTGTCGAGAACCGACAGTTCATGGCCGACAACAACGCAGAAGCGCGAGCTTCATGCAAATGCTTTGTGAACATGTCAGCCCTGTTCACATCTGTACATATTTTAAACACTTTTACATCTTTGTTGGCTACTCTGTCCTGCAACCAAAGATACTGGGTCTCCAGATGCTTCGCCCGGCCCAGTCCCTTCTTTTCTGCCAACGCCTTCCCGGCAGAGCTGTCTGTGCACAATCGGATACCGACTTCAACGCCGATATCTGCGAAGAGACTTCTCAAACCCATGGCTTGACTGCATCCCTTCAGCATGCCGTAAAACTCGGATTCTCCAGTTGACAAGGCGATCACCGCTTGGTTCGAAGAGTAGCTTCTCAAAGGGCTACTTCCGAAAAACACGGCACCACCACTAGTGGATTTCCGAGTCTTGCCACACCCTGCGAAATCAGCATCAACCTCTGCAACCAGGTCTCTTGGCATGTCTTGCCATTCGAACCACAAGAGCATACGGCGATGCGAGATCAAGTAACGACCAAGCCTGCGCAATCTTCTCATTGATGCTTCTGTCGGGGATGACATTTCGCGAGCGAGTTCCTTCACACAGTACTGGCAGTCAGGCCTTTCAGAACACATATAGGCTGCTCTCGTGACACAAGACCTGAACAGAGTGGTATCTGCAGGTGAGAGCCGCTTCTGCGTCAGCTCTGCTTGCTCTTCGGGTTGCAGCTTCACGCCTGGCGTGCTCAAGCCTTTGGCATTCTTCAGGCCCAAGCTGCTGATCAAGATCTCTGCGTGACGAGGATCCGCTTCTAGGGAGTAGCCAGAATTCTCACGAGACAGCAAGCGGCCAAGGATTCGAACACTTTGTCCTGGACTTGAAAGTGTCGCGCAAAACTTGCACTTCCACATTTCTCGAAAACGCTCATGCAGCCACTTGATGTCTAGAGCTCTCGCCACAGACACGAAGTCATCACCGTGAACTTCAAGTCGAATGTCTTTGTGCGGATGATAAAACAAGCAACTGGATGCGCGCCCCTGTAAAAACCCAAGTGAGAGAAGCACCTTGGTATACTGTTGCTCCCAGTTGTGGGCCGCATCTCTTGTGCCATACATACTCTTCTTCAAAACAGCGACATGTTCAGGCATTTCCATTTCGGGCGGCAGCTCTACGACAACATACCTGGTGGCGTCTGCGCACCAATGTGCACGGCTAATATCAACGAAATCCATGACATACTCCGGGTTAGTAGAGGCTACAGCAATGAGTGCTCGCAAGCTTTCTGTTGGCGGCGTCGACGCATAGAAACCAACCTCAGATGGCTTGTGTCCCTTAACTTCTTTCGCCACAGTCCTGGCGCGGTAACTGGGCGATTTGGAATCACCTTTGTTGACCAGCACCCACCTTGTAGGTATGACTTTGGTCCCACTTGGCAGTTCTGACCTCAGAACAGGCGTCCACAAGCCCATCTCGTCAGCTATGCGCAGCTCCTCCTTTTTCGCAATCTCTACCAAGCGAGAGTTGAGTCCTAAGCCACTGACGTCATCGAAGTACTCGTCCCAGCAATCTTTGCTATGACTCTGTTCACACAAACTGGGTTCATCGCAAATGGGCTCCTGAACCGCAGCATCCATTGAGAATACTTCGCTCCGATGACTCAGGATGGCCTCTTGCAGCATGCTCTCGAAAGAATCCGTCATCGCTGTCTGAGCTTCCGGACCCAAGCTCTCAGGTTCTGCAGTCCGTCTCTCATCCATGGCTTCAGGCGGCTGCTCGGCAGGCCGTTTGGATGATGGGGACCTTGCCTCCTGAGCAGAGTCCACTGCTGCACTTGACTCAGCTGCCACTGCCACATCACCAGGTTGTTGCTCCAATCTGGCTCGCTTCACGGCTTTCTGTTCCTCGTCATACTTCTCCACCTGTCGGGCCAGCCATTTGTCACGTCTTCCGTCTGCAGAAGTGACTTTGGAAACCAGTTCTTCATCTCCGCTGGCTTTCCATGCTGCTTCAAACCTGGCCCTACACTCCTCACTATGCTTGCCATAGAGGCCACGCCTTAACTTATCACACCCATCGCAAAGTGGAGTGAAACCGAACTTTAAGGCGTCAGACATACGGATGGCTGCCCTCCTGGGAGCACGGTGGGCATTAACCACGAACGGCACTGGCAGACCTTGTGGAGGCATTTCAGGAACAACAACTTGCGGGGCTTCACCGCCTTCGGCGTTCAACCCCCACGGTGTAGCCCTCATGGACAAAAGCTTCTCTTTGTGGGGCCACAACTGAGTCTCGCGTGAAGCTCTTACGCTCCACACTTTGACTACTTTCATGGTCTCAAAACACAAAACAAATCGTTCGGTGGTCAGGTCGGAAGTGCCAAGGTAGCATCCCTCTGACCATCTTGGCGCGAGTTTGCCAGCTACAGCTTTCAGTTTAAACACTATTGCAGCACCAAATTCAAAAACTGGCTCTCGCCAGGGTCTGCCTCTCAAGTTCTGATAGGCAGTCCTTCCAGATGCCGTTCTGTGAAAATGATGCAACAACCACGACGCATGCCGAACTAACCAAGGAAAAATGGCATGGTTCGCCGGGAACTCGCACTGCAAACGTTCGTGCAACATACTCAGCAATGTGCGGGCTTGTTCCTGCACGCTTCTACAGGCACGCTCCACAAAACCGTTGGCCTCGCTCTCTTCAACGGGACTGTGCTCAAAGGTAACTTTGACTTCAACAGGAAGCAAGGCAACTGCTGCACGAGCTAATGCCACCAAGGAAGGCTCGCCATCTGTCTTGAGTGTAAACTCGCGATAGCCTAGCACACGGAAAATGTCAGCAAGTGCTTGAACACTGTACTCATGCACACAGCCTTTTGAGGGAACTAAGCGCGCAAAGACAGCCAGGTCGGGCTTGGATTTGACAACCATCACAGGACTTTCGCTCGCGTTTCCCTCGCTGCTGCTCAAAAAGCAATAGTCAATGGCCACCAACGGCTTGGTGTACTCCGTATTTGAAGGCTCTTTGTGCGCCAAAGCTGGAGCTTTGCCCCGGATGCAATGGCGGCACCAAGGACGAAAAGGCAAATGAGTGAGACAATGCTCTCGGACTTCCGAGTCCGAGGGCAGAACTGGAGATTTGGGAGTTGTAGCAGCTTGCGCTTCAGCATGCTCCGAATCTCCGTGCTCGTCGTCTTGAGGACTTACAGTGTCGTGCCCCAAGACACCACCTGCCTCCGGAAACCCTGCCCTTCAGCAGAAACGACACCGACAACACCTTGCACACCCTGGTGCTCTCCTACACTCACAGGCGCTACAGGGGCAGAGTCTCCAGATCCAGACCCTCCACCTTCACTAAAGGGGGCTAAAGGAACCACGCTTGCGACTCCGCCACTGGAAGGTGACAGCCACACGCCAACTTTGTAAAGACCCTTCGTCTCTTCCATCCAGATCTTCCCACAACCCTTTGGTTGGATGTAGCTGTTCCCTTCCTCGAAGTGACAGATGCCACCTTTGCTACAAACATCCGACACAGCAAGCAGCGGTTTGTGTATATCGGCCACTGCGGAAGAAAACGAAACAGCTACCCCAGAGTCCGTGAATGCCCTTAGCTTCTTACAGCCTTGGTCCGAAACCGTGTGGCCAGTTGCAGTTTTAAACTGCCGACCAAGCTTGCTCGTCTCACTCACTTGGACAGGCTCTTTCGGCGCAATGCATGGCGGAATTGCAGTAGACCCGGCTCCGGAATCAACAGTGAGCTCCACGCGCGACCAACCTTGCTGAACAGTGTGCCAGGACTGGGAAGCAACAAACTGATGGTCACCATCCACGTGCGCGAGGTCTACTTCAAAACCGCCAGCTTCAACCGGCTCTTGCTGCTGAGGGGACTCATCCAACGTGTTCAAGCTCTTGTCCTTGCCCTTCGCAGACTTAGATTTAGACTTAGACTTGCCTTTGCTTTTGGGTGCTTTGTCAGGGTACTTGTCCCAACAGTCAGCCTCCTTGTGGCCTTGTCGATGACAGAAGTTGCAGTTACCAGGAAACTTCTGAGACTTCCCTTTGCCACTAGGAGTCTTGCCATGTGGGTTCGGAGCACCTTTTCCTTTTCCTTTGGAAAAGGAAGCAAGCAAAGAGCTCAACTCCTCAACAGACTTGACACCAAGCTGTGCGAGACTACCGATGTCCATAGGCACGGGCCCTGTGGAGGATGAAGAAAGCGACTGCGAGGACTGCGACGCTAGTTGGGTCTGAGCTTGCAGTTCAAGAAAGTGCACAACCTCCGCACGTGCCTTTTCATACGTGTCGAAACTTTTCAAGTTCAACTGCATGTGTGTCTTCAAGGGATCTACCAACATCTTCAACAGCATCACGCGCTTGAAGCCATCAGACAGTGTGTCTAACGTGCGTGTTTCGTGCTTGGTCATCATTTCTTCCCTACGCTCCAACTCGGCAAGAATCTCCGTAGGGTTAGTGCTGGAGAAAGGACCCAGGTTCACTATCTGCGTTAGCAAAGAAAGATCTGTCTCCTCTGACTGGGGATCAAACCGATGACACAAGCGACGAAACGCGTCCAAACCAGCACTCGGCCCTTTGAAACTCTTCTCTACAACAGCAAAAGCTTTACCTTCACAAACGGAGAGAAGAGTTGCATTCAAATGGGCAGATATCCGCTCAGCATCCGGATGTTTGCTGGTCAAACTCTGAAAACGTGCAGCATCTACAACTGAGGTTTCGTCGTCAAGAACATCCGTCAGCAACTTTTCGGCCGACTTGAATGCGGTTTGCACCCAGTTGACGTACTTGAGCTTCCAAACCCTGAAATCTTTTTCAGCTACTTTGTCCGTCAACTTTTCAGGCTGCCCAACACCGCGAACGTCTACAAGGCTACCCAGTCTTTGCTCACCAGAGGAACTCAACTTGCCTAGCGCTTGCGTGAAATGCTGATGCTGCGCAGTCAGTGCTTGCTGCATCACTTGTATCCTCTGCTCGTGGGACTCCTGCTGCTGTTGCAGCAGCTGCTGGGTTTGAGATTGCAACGCTTGGATGAGCTGTTGCATCTCCGACATTCTGAAACTGGGTGTGACAAGGTTTCGGCTCACGTGCTTTTCAGGTTTCCCAAAGGAACTCAACCAGAGCTCCGCACTACCATGTTGCGGACTTTTTAGTCGCGATCTGAGCCCTGCAGGTTTGCATGGATGCACATTACAAATCAAGATTTAATTAAGTCAACTCCAAACTCTCATTCTGGAAAAGAGGCAACGAAGAACATGTGCAGCTAAGGTACCTGAGACGGGAGGGTTTTCAACAACAACAGAGAACAAAAAGGAAAAGATAGGATGAAGGCAGATGGTGGGGACAGGAAGGGAGAACTCCTCTTTCGCTCGGCTCACACGTTTTCTCTTCCCTTGCCTTCATCCTCTGCTCTTCTCCCTTTTCTCTTCATAAGAAGAAAGGACAAATGAAAGGAACCGAAAGCTCAGGGAAAGCAAGACGCCCTCGCTCTCATCATCTGCCCCTTCCTCGACTTCATTGCTCTATTCCTTGTTCTTCTCTCCTGTCTCATTGGTGATCAGTGATAAACCAAGACGAGTTTGCCGTTCTTTCATTTTCTTTTTCTGGTGGAAAGCTAAGAAGCAGGAAGGAGAGGAAGGAAAGTGGAGAAATAGAAAGAGAAGCAAGAACGGAAAGAACAATACGCAGAAATGACAGAGAGGAAGGGAGAACTGCAAGCCCAGCAGAAGAAGAAGAAGAAGATAGAGAGAGAGAGAGAAGAGATGAAGATAAGATAAGGGTGAAAAGGTGAAAAGAATGAAAACAAAAATCTAACAGCAAAGTAGCTAAACAAAACCTTCTGGCCTACCCCCTCAACTCTAAACCACCCTAAACCCTCGGTACATTGAGATATAACGGCACAGTTCCCGTAGCATGCTATATCAGAAACCATTTATTCCTACGAGACGTACAACCGCCTAAAACACGGTGACAAAAAATAAAACAGCGAGGCATCTGAAAAGACTTTCTGGCCTTCCCCTTCAACTCTAAACCACTAAACCCTCGCTATATAAAGGCTTAACAGCACAGTTCCCGTAGCACGCTATGTCATTTCTTCTTACGAGACGCACAACATAAACCAAGGTTTCGTATACTTTTTGTAGTCAGGATGTGATATCCTGTTGCTCTGGACGAGTATTACGTAAGACTTTAAGCGCCTGTGGGTCTTGCGGATAATTGGAGAATAAGCATCATCCTTGACAAATGATAACCATGATGGGAGACCTGTGGGAAGCATTGAGAATGAAAAAGCAAGATACTTGCGAGCAATTACTTGCAGCCTGTTGGAAGGTCTCAGGAAATCGCGAAAGGACATTTGCTCACAGTATTCTCGTGTCCCTGGGGCTTAAAGTAAATGATTTTCCGCATTACCCTATGCGCTCGAATACTTCTGAGTCTCATGGTTCGTTCTCCGCTATCGGTATTTGATACGCCATACATTTATCCTATATACACACTTGATGTGGGCACCTATTCTACGTACTTTCTCTTTGCGTTTTGCTGACTGAGAGATGTTTTCGGGTGTGAAAAGGCCTTACGCGCCAACATCTGCTTCTGGACAACAAAGTAGAGATAATATGTTTTGTGAAGGGGGGGCCAAGACAGTGCTTAATCGGCCCTGGGTTTGACGATTGAAGATTGAAGACGCCGGGGAACTCTCCCCGGATTGAAGATGCTCCGGGGAGAGTTCCCGGGCATCTTCAATCTTCAACCTTCAAACACAGGGCCGATTAAGCGCTCCACCTGCTGCTTAATCGGCCCTTGGATTGAAGATTGAAGATTGAATATGCCGGGGAACTCTCCCAGGAGTATCTTCAACCCCAGACCCCTGCCGATTAAGCACTTCATCTGCCTAGTCGGCCCAGGGTTGAGAATCCAGGATTGAAGGTGCTCCGGGGAGAGTTCCCGGGCATGTTCAATCTTCAAACCCAGGGCCGATTAAGCAGGCGGAGCGCTCAATCGGCCTTGAGGCCGAAGGATCAGGATTGAAGATTCCCGGGGAGAGTTCCCCGGCATCGTCAACCCGATTAAGCAGCTGGAGCGCTTACTCGGCCCTGGGGTCCAGTAGTTCAATATTTCATATGCTCTGCTAAAGTCTGTAGAATTTTCAAGCCCCCCTCCCAAAGACCCATCTGTATTTTGGTGTTTGGGATACCGTAAGCCAAAGCTAAATGAAAGGGAAGAAGTCCCTTTTTCCTCTGCCAATCTTCTTCCTCCCACTCCTCTCTTCCTCTCCTATTCCTTTCTTAGCATAGAGCATGGAGTGGTGAGAGGGAAGGGGTGAAAGCGGATGAGAGAAGTGACAGAGAGGGCAGGGCGAAATCTTCATTTCCTTGCCTTTTTCGTCCCTCTCACCTCTCCTTCTCATCGTTCTCTTGCTTTCTCGTTTGAGAAGGATGTGGACAGGGCATGGAACAAGGCGAGGGAAGGGGGGGGGGGCGAAATCGAGTGAGAAAGGATGGAACAAGGAAGAAATGAGGAAAAATGGACAGGACAGGTCAGGTGTTTGGTTTGGCGACTATACACGTACCTGGACCAGCAGAGCGACAAGCCCAAACCAAAGAGAAAAAGCAAATCCAAATCGCCCACCTCCCGCTCACCCATCTGAAAAAAAACAACAAAAATGCATCCGTAGCGAGTGTTCGCCTACGGTCAAATCGATCTACAGAGGTCCCGGCACATCCCTTGTCGAACAGGCAAAAAAGCAGAAACATAGCAAGGGGGGGTCGGGCTTGCCATTGGTGTTGGCATGTGGCCAAAACACCGCCACAAGGGGATCGTGTCCCCCTGCACCCTTCGGCTAGTCGTGCCAGCCAATCCCTTGACAGGCAAAATCCGACCACGACGTATCGACGCCTCCCCCCGCCACGAACCCGCCTTTTTCGTAGAAGCTGTCAACAGGCCCGATTTCGCCGATTCCGAACCGGCTGAAAACGACGACACACTCGCAACAGCATGTGAACAAGCGAGTGAGGGTACTCTGGGTGTGAAGTTACCGCAAAAACCTCGAGAAGAACTTGACCGAGAGTATCTTCGTCCGACAGCCCACCCAGGAAGCTGCCCGAGACGACACCGCTTCGAGAGAAGGCGGCGAAGGCACTCCATGAGCACCCCCCCCCAACACCTTCCCCCGAACAAAGAAACCCAATGGCACGGGACCAGTGGAGCAAGACCGCAAGAGTGCGGATGCCGTTAAGAGAATTGGCGGCACTCTCACCCCATCAGTATAAAAGGCCCACCAAACTGTAACCAACCAAAGTGACAAAGGTGACACCCCTCAGTGTATGGAGTTGGTCTCAGTAGGGGCACTACCTTACCCCTAGCTGAGTCCCTTCCCTCGCCCACGTGGAGGACTCCGCCGTCGGGGTGAGGAAACATGGCTCAGAAGAGGAAGCGAGAGATACCCTATCCCATCCCAATGTTGCTATATCTCAGGGGCCTCCCGAATGCAGGGGCCTTTAGAGGCTAGAGCTTCCAGTAGCATCCAACCCTCCCTCCCAGCTCGACATGAGACATTGCCTCTCCTCCCCTCCCCTCACCTCTTCCTTTCCTCGGACCATAGTCCGCAATCTTATAATGCCCTTCATTCTCCTTGCTTAAGCTTGCCTTTTCTATCTCCCTACTTAATGGCAAAAGGAACAGAAGAGGAAAGGCTCATGGGCTGGACACGAGAAAAGCGAGAGCGGGGTCAAGGAGGAGAACGAACATGGAAAAGAAAGGAAGGAGAGCTAGAGGGAAGATAGAGAGATAGAGAGGAGAAATGAAGGACAAAGACCGTGGAAGAAAGGCGTGAGCAATGCTCGGGACATAAGTGTAAGGGGTGAGGAAAAGGAACAGTGGATAACAAAAACAAGTGTCCTGCTTGACCCCTTTTTGTTCTCCAAGCGGCCCTCTTTTCACCATCGCTTCCTTCTTCCTCTCCTTCATTGTTTTTGTTTCCTTCACCCTGTTCCCCTATCTGTCGCTCTTCCACTGTCTTCCTTCTTCCTCTTCTCCCTAATTGTTGTCTCTTTCTCTTTGCTTCTCTATCTGTCTCCATCTCTCTCACTCCGGTGCTCCCCGGCGTTTTCTGTTCAATTGCTCATCCTTTCTGACTTTACGAGGAGGACCCTGTACAAACGATGGGTCCTGTTCTGGACATGGTCCCGCACTGCCTCTTTCCACACACTCCAGACCCCTCTGAGCCGCCCCAAGAGTTTCGGGCGGCCTTCAGAGAGCGTCTCCCAGGGGCCTCCAAGAGCCCCCATATTGCCAAGAAGAAAAACCACACAGAGACATGTAGAGAAGTAGTTACGAGGAGCTGGAGAAGTCCTCCTTCCATCATATCATTCCCTTCATTCTCCTTGCTTAACCTTGCCCTTCTTCTGCCCCCCCCCTACTTAATGACAAAAGGAACAGAGGAAGAAAGGGCCGCAAAAGGGACACAAGAAAGGGAGAGTGCAGAAAGCGGGCGCACGAAGAGCGAAAACGAAAGGAAGGAGAAAGAAAGCTTCTTAAAGACAATAGCATTCCAAAGAACAACGAAATCCTGTCATTTATTGAAATACTGGATGGACTCGTTGATTCCTTTTCAAATGAAGGGTTCTATCGTTCACGGTGTTCCTTAGAACAGGAGGGCCTTTCAGGACAACGCCCTCATCTGTATTCAACATAGGCAGGGCTACCTCTGATTAAGAATACACGGAACGGTTCATTCTAAAGAAAATAAACTCTCTCATTTCAATCGGAGCGGACGGACCCACTCATCTATCAAGCAAAAGAGCCGAAAGCATTTGGGAGGAATTAAAATACGAATGAGGGGCTATCGCAGTATCCTTTTGTCTTCTGACACGGATTCTTTGACAGAAGGGGTTCCTGCCTCTTGTTTCTTTCAAGAAAGGGAGGCTTTCGAGTGGCAAGGGGCGAACTCACGCCCACCCCAGTCTTTGGGGCCACTCTGAAAACAGCTTGGAGAGGACAGTTGCTTCTCTCTCCTTTTTCTGTTTCTCTATCTCTTGCTCCGTGTCTGTCGTTC